CCAGTGTTTGTTGAAAGGCAGTGCAGCTGAGAAAGAAGTCATCACATAAGTGAGGGCCAGGGCTGCAAGATCTAGATGTGTTGTGTGACGAGTGCACACACCATCAAGCCAATTGTCATCTAAGCAGAGCTGCAAGAAGCCTTCAGGAACAAAGCTCCTTCCTTTCCTATCCCATGTCTAGGGCCTAGGGCCTCTTTTTGCTGCCAGATGGAATCATTTGTAATTTTTCGCATGGCCCTTGCTTATTCTTATCTTTCTCATCCCTCAGAGAGCTAGCTACCTTTAAATGATGTCTCAACTTGGAAAATTTGCAGCTCCCAAATACTACAAATCCTCTTCAACATAGACAACAAGCAGCTCAGCACTCTATACCAAATTCTTCCTCCATGTAGACTACAAGTTTCTGGAGGAAGACTATGACTTCTTGGATGGTGTTTAGCACCAGGCACCATACCTGGCACGTAGAAGGTAATCACTTGCAACTCTTGACTCAGTGACTGATGAGTGGAGAGGACAGTGGTTTAGAAGAAGAAGTGTTTGCTTAAGGTCTAGAGCTGTATTCTATTTGGCTATGTGAATTTTGCACATATAGTGTTGGGCCAGTATGAGATTTCTTTAGGTTTTGTTCAGCTTCATTCAAGTCAACCTCTTTCTGAATTATTTTTGGCCATATTGGCTCCAAAAATAGTGAGCCTAGAAAGTAGTCCTTGCTGATGGTGGGAGGGGGTGGTAGGAGGTGGGGGTCTCAGGTTGAAGAGGCTGCAGTGCGTGCTTGGGAGAGGTGTTTGGAACTTTCCTAGGAAGCTCTTTTCTGGATTAGAAGAAAACTCTGGGATCAAATATTCTTTAAAGTAATAGACAACGTTATCTGCTTAAGTGGTAATTCTGTTTAGTGGTGGAAAGCAACAATATAATGTTCACCTTGTACCTATATAGAATCTGGTTTTGTTCTTGTGTTTTGTTTTCATTTTTATCTGATGCTGGTACTGGGGCTTGTGCTCACCTGCCTTTTTCTCCAAATGCTATAGCTCTATGATTGCTTGATTCATATCTCCTCTTCTGACTTTTTTTTTCTGGTCTTGGGGCTTGAACTCAGGGCCTAGGTGCTGTCCCTGAGCTTCTTTGTGCTTAATGCTAGTGCTCTATGATGCAGGAGTACTTTGGGTTTTTTTCTGGCAAGTTTGCTGGTGATAAGAGTCTCATGGACTTTTCTGCCCAGGCTGGCTTTGAACCACATTTCTCAGATCTCAGCCCCCTGAGTAGCTAGGATTATAGGCTCGAGCCACCAGTTCCTGGTGCACTTCTGACTTTTTGTTGGTTAATTGGAGATAAGTGTCTCATAGATTTTCTGCTTGGGCTAGTTTCTTTGTTGCTTGTTTTTTTGATAGTTGTGGGCTTGAACTTAGGGCCTGGGCATTGTACCTAGCCCCTTTGTGCTCAAGTCTATTGTGCTCTATCATTTGAGTCACAGTGCCATTTCTGGTTTTTGAGTGGTTAATTGGAGATAAGAGTCTCACAGGGACTTTTCTGCTTGGGCTGACTTCCAACTATGATCCTCATATCTCAGCCTCTTGAGTACCTAGGATTACAGGCAAGAGTCACCGCCGCATGCTGAGGCTAGTTTTTAACCTCAAATCTCAGTCTTCTGAGTAGCTAAAAATTACAGGCATGAGCCACCAGTGCCTGGCTAAATCTGTAGCTTTGTTTGTTTTACAGACTATGACAAGGCAAAATGAGTTATGAACTCAGGGCTTGGGCACTGTCCTTGAGCCTCTCTGTGCTCAAAGCTAGCACTCTACCACTTGAGCCCACAAAGCCACTTCTGGCTTTTTCTGTGTATGTGGTACTGAGGAATTCAACCCAGGGCTTCATACACGCTACCTCTAAGCCACATTCTCAGCCCAGAGCCATATATTCTTTAAGGATTGTTCCATGATGAGGGGAAAAGGGGGGGGAGGGAAAGTGGGAGAAAAATGAGGGAGGACGTAACAAGTTCGACAAGAAATGTACTTACTACCTTACTTATGTAACCGTAACTCCTCTGTACATCACCTTGACAATAAAAATTAAAAAAAAAAGAGATTGTTCCATGGTTCTACCAAAAACGATATATGGATATCCCACACTACTATTTCAGAAATCAAATGAGGCAGGAAAGTAAGATTGAAGTCTTGGGTTAGGTCCTTAGAAGTTTATGATACCATAGATGGTGTAGGATTCAATTCCTCCCAGGATCTTTGTTCATCTTTTCTTCTCACCTTTTGCTCCTCTGCCCTTGACCTTCTTTTTGGTGAGAAGCTGTTATATAATATTTAATTGCCTGGGTGTCAGGGGAATGTACATTTGAATCCTCTGCCACTTAATGATTGTGATCTGGGCAGATATCTCAAATCCCTGCCTCAGTTTCCTTGTCTATAAAATAAATTTATCTTACGTAATGCTACCATAAAAGTTACATACATTAGATCCTTGGTATCCATTGGTATATGGTTCTAAGGAGAGCACCACTGAGAAAAACCCACAAATACCCTGGCTACAGAATTCAGTAGGCTAAAAATACTGTTTACATATGCTGTGTGGACAGGGGGTATGATCATCCAGCACTTGAAGCCTCATGGAATAGGCTACTTTACTGCCACAAAATTACTATTTTATATAACAAAAATCCAAATAACAAAATCTAGATTTTTATGCTTTTTATCTCAACTACTGCAGATGCTTGATATGTGTGTGTGTGTGTGTGTGTGTGTGTGTGTGTGGGCACGCACACACACACACATATATATATTCACCCCATAACACCCCCCAACAGCACTGAGGACATTCTGCCTTTCAACAAATCTAAAATTTTCACTCTGTCACTTCAATTAGGCACATTAGAATTTGCTTGATTTTTTAGGTACCATTTGCTTTTGGGAAGGCATATTTTCACAAGATTAAGGGCAGGAAAACACTCAGCAGATCACGCAATGATTGAGAAACACAGCTGACAATTATGGAGAACACATCAACTAAACTGGTAATGCATGCAAGGAAATTCAAATCTTTGGTTTTGGAAATGTCTTCTTCTTCTTCATTTATTATCTTTTTTTGACCCTATTAAGTCAAACCACATGTGATAAATCCTCGTACAAGATACTTGATATAAAGTAAAGATACAAGAGATTTGTTATCATTTTTCTTTATATTATGATGACACTGATGTTTACATTTCTGCCTGCAACACACTGATTTTAACATGGAATTCTGTGATCTTTTACCCAATTGGCTCACCTTTTTTCTGTTTATGTTGCATGAAAACCCATCAGAATCATAAATCTTCACTTCTGCATATTTTCATTGTCACAGGACTTGGCTTTGCTTGTGCCATAAATTTATCAAGCTAGATGGCACAAGGTATAAGACCCAAATGGGCAGGCAAAATTTTCCCATCAACTTGAAATACAAATATTATTATAGCTAATAACATTTTTAAATGCTGGAATTCAAAACATTCAGGAATAACAGATAACTAAGTCACTAGGGGAATATTTATTTCCTTGTTGTAAACTGAAGAATTAGAAGAATAAAGTTGGAAGAGGGAGGTCTTAGATTCCTTGTAAAGTTCTTGTGCATTTTAAAGTTTCAATAGCCTTGCCACAGGTTTGTGTCATGCCTATATACTAAAAGCTCTTGAAGGTAAATTGATTGATATTCAGAATAATATTTCATAAGTTATCTGTAAGTCTTACCTTGATTCTATAATAATCAATGAAAATGAGCTAAGAAGGTAGGGAGGTTAATGGTGAGAATATCTTAGTTTCTTCTAAATTCAATTTTGAAGGACAGTTACCAATTATGTGATAGTTTTGAGCTCAGATGTTGGAGTGGTGAGGTTTAGAGTCTGTACTAGGGTTTGTCAGACTGTTCATACATGTTCATACCAGCCACACTGGTACCCTCAGCTGTGAGCCCCCTGGAAGTCTTATGTGAGTTCCTACCACCATTGGACTAATTAGTAAAAGGGAAAGTTGAGGAACAGGTGGTGAGATCTTTGATAACAGCAACTGCCTTAGTCATTGTGTTTATTGTCATTTGACTGGGTGTGACTATTACTGGCAGACATAGCAAATGTCTCTGGATCTGAAAGTCTTGGGTTTCTGTTAAGCAGATTGAGAGTCCTGTCTAGGAAAAGCTGGAAGTGTTCTGGAACACATACGTAAGACATGGTTTGAACCACAAAGTCCAACAGTGATATTGGGAATTGTTAGTCTTTTTTCAGGTAACATAGACACCTTGGGTGATTCTGGAAACTGAGACCTTAAGATTTCCTCAGGAGGTATGGGAATGGTGTCAAAGGGCCTTCTTAGCTAGTGTTCACATACACGGTAGTAAGGTTGAAGCCAAGCCCAGGTCCCAATGTGGGACAGTGTCTCCTTTTACCAAATGTAGCCAATTGGATTCTACAGAGGTAGAAGCACTGACTTTGCATTTCATATTTCAGGATACAGTGAAAGGAAAAAAAAAAAGAAAAACAACGAAGAAGGAATGGATCCACAAAAGCACAAGGTAAGTCAGCTAACAGTTAATTAGATGTCTGAAGGAAGAGAGGCTGGTTGCTTTGCAGGATGGTTTACTGGCTGAGAAGTCAAGGATCCTGGCAGGTTGAGAATGAGGAAATTTGTTCATTTTTCCTTCACTGCAATGAATCATGCCTCCAGTGACAATTTTCTGTATTTGTGTAGAGTCATGCTTTACTAGGTTCTTTCTGAATTATTGCTTGTCATTTCGGGACCCTTAGCCATTTGGAGGTTGTCAACATGAAGTCAGATGTGAGCTGGGGAGGTAGAACATTCTGTTCTGTAGGAAGCAGTTGGTTTTACCTGCCACACAGGGACGTCCTGCTCCAAAAACCATATCCGTGCCACATGCCAGAGGGTAATGCAGTCTTTGTGAGCAGGCCCTGGCCAGGGGCCCAACAGACTGGCAGCTAGAGATGGATTCAGCATCATTGTCTTCTGTCCTTCAGCAAGACAGAATCTTTAGGAAAGCTTTGCGGAACTCCACATTGAAGGTGGTATAAATCACAGGATTGAGGGCGCTGTTCATATAGCCTAGCCATGTTGTGGCTCTGTAAAGCTCTGGGGACACGTGGCATGCTTGACAGTGGGTATTAAGAACATGGGTCAAGAAGAAAGGTAGCCAGCAGACAATGAAGGCCCCTGGGTTACAAAGGAAGAGAAAAACTGGGTAAGGAGTTTTGTTACCCCTTTGGTTACACCATGCAAACAGCTTACAGTTGTCTAGGCTGGAAGTTTTATATTACATCTACTTTTTCCAGTGACCTTAGGAAGTAGGTGTCATTATGCACATCTTTTCTCTTAGAAAATGACATGCTAATATCTTTACTTCAGGCCTTTGTTACAGAGCCAATGTTTGAGTTTGGACTTTAGGTAACTATGTACCAATATTTTCTCCTGCATTCAATTAAATTTATTTTGAATTTTCCTACTCAAGACATGATCTCTGTTTGGGTAGGGAGGAAGACCTTAAATATAGTACCTATTGTTGAGGGATGACATCTAAGTGTGCTAATAAAGCCCCTAGCATATGAAAATATTTGGGCTTACCAATAATATTGAATGAAATGAATTGCCTTTATTAGTGCTATATGGCACCTATGACATGGAGTTTCAATTTTTCTAAGTGAAGTTTATCTTTTCCTACTAAGAAATTAGTAGAAGAACTTCTATTGCATACAAAATAGGACATTTGGTAAACACAAGAAAGTAGAAAGAGAAAAGTAACCACCTATCACTAAACCACTTTTGACTCCTTGGTGAATTTCTTTTTAGTCTTCCCCCCCTTCCCCCGTAATTAAAATAACCTAGATGTTATTATGCCATATGACAGTATTGTTATGTATCCTTATTTTTTTCACTTAATATTTTAAGGTAAGTAAAAGATGTATTAAATAATCATGTACTAGAAAATTTTGTTAAAGCAGTAGCATTTGATTTATACATTATACTTCTATATGATTCTATAATCCTATATACATTGTAATTCTATAAGATGCAGTTCAATTAGGAGTCTTAGGAAGCATCACAAATTTCATGTCACTATTTTGGATTTCTACTAGTGTTAAAATGTATATAGTAATCCTTTTCAATTATACTATACATGTTTTATAAATATGAGAGTCATTGCAATTTTCATTTCTGTCAAACGTGGCTACTCTAGAACCTGCCACAAGCTCCAGGTGAACGTGATGCAACCCAACCCAGCTCATGCAAGCTCACTTACCAAGCACAATGGCCACCATCTGGGTTGCCTTCTTCTCCCGAAGCGGGACCCCTCGAGGGTTCAAGGGAGCCAGCTTCAGAGATGTTGATAACCTGCCATTGCTGAGCTTTCGTACCTCTAAGCTGAGCTTAGGTGCCAAGGTGGGGCTCAGGGAGTTCTGCACCCTCTCCTCTCTTTTCCGTTCTTCTCCTTCTTGGAAGCTGGGCCGTCTCAAAGCAGTATCCTGACAGATGCTATAGTAACGCTTCAGCTCCATATGTGCCCGGCCAGGAGACAGAGGCTACAAGGGTGATAAGAGAAGGTCCTGACATTTCTGGGGATATTGTTTGTCTTCTGTATGTCCCTGAAAGGGAAAGAAACTGCAAAGAAGGAAGAGGAGAACATTGCTGTATAAAATCTACAGAGGGCAAGGGGTAAGACCATGGCAAGTTATGGGAATGAAATCTGCTCCTGACTTTATAACTCACAAGTATTTGCTACACGCAGGACAGTCAATCATTGCAACAATATCTTGAAGAGGGCAGTGAAGGATAGTAGCCTGGCCTTTCTGAGTTAGACTGACCTGACTATAGACAGGAACATAGATAATGACAGCATTGGGATGTAGGTGGCAAAATCTGGAGTGCCAGTCCATGAAACTCTACACAGCAAATGATTCCATTTCTTCAAAAAGAAATAGTGATGACAACAACAATGCTTGAGTGTCACAAGGGTATGGGCTTTATTTGAATTTGTATTCAGATCAACCAATCATAAAATATTGGTGAGACAATTTTGGAAATTTAAACATTGATTAGATATTCAGTGATCATAGTGAATTCTTATTTCCAGTGTGATTTGGCATTGAGATTACTCTTTATAAAACTTTTCAAGGGCTGGGAATTTGGCTCAGTGGTAGAGCGCTTGCCTTGCATGTATGAGGCCCTGAGTTCGATTCCTCAGCACCACATAAGCAAAAAGAAAAAAAGCTGGAAGTGGTGCTGTGTCTCAAGTGGTAGAGCGTTAGCCTTGAGCTGAAGAGCTGAGGGACAGTGCACAGGTCCAGAGTTCAGGCCCCATGACCGGACCTCCCTCCCCCCCAAAAAAGTTTTCAAATCTTTGATGATCTTATAGAAATATTTTCAGTTGAAAAGGCTATATTTGGGATTTGTTTCTTAACAGATTAGTGTGTGTGTGTGTGTGTGTGTGTGTGTGTGTGAATATAAGAAAGGAGTATCAATGAAATAAGATGGGTCAAAAGTTAATAATTGCTGAAACAAACTGATAACAACTGTTATATTTGGTATTCTCTTTACATTTGAAATTTTCTTTGACATAAAGTTATGAAGAGAAAGACAAACTCAAGTTGTTTGTCTCAGCTTTCCTCCTTAGTGGACATAATCTCTCAGCAAGGTGACTTAATATCTCTTCATCTCATTTGCAAAGCAGAAAAACAGAAAAGCAAAACCAATCAGCCAAACAAACACCTTGGGGAAATGGGTTTCTAAGAATAGAAGAAGGAAGGTGAATTTTTCTGGAATAGGGCTGGCGAAGGAACAGCCAAATGTATGTCCAACATCTGAACTTCTTTCTGTGTTCAAAGGATAAAAGCCCTAAGAGCCAGCTGTTCATTCTGTATTCTTTTCTGTTTCTCCAGGAGTGAAGTTCTGCTATATGAATCAAGTCTAAGGTATTGGAGATTCACACCTGAGACTTCAAACCAGAACTAGTGAAGTGGGGAGACTTCAGACTTGATTTACCAATGGTGACTTTCAGTGTCCAGGTTCCTAGGTCTTCTAACTAAATAATTCCTGGGGCATGAACAACCTCTGGAGCTGATCTTCAGCCTTCTCACTAAGTCTGTTAGCTACCTGGCTAGCTTTTCTTGTCTACTCAAGTCAGTTGGTGTCAACACCCAAACACCTTGCTTCTTTTTCCCTAGTTCAAGAAATCTTGATTTCCTTATATACAATGTCAGAGTACCGTATTCTCTAAACACGGTGGAAGGAATAAGCAAATCCAAAACCTCATCAAGATGAACTAGTGTTTTAATAAACTGTGTGCAACAGAGTTATTCTTCAGAATTCTAAAGGAATATGTTTTGAAAAAAATTGGCTTTCATTTTGATGAGATTCCTAATAATTAATATAAGCATATTATGTTTTGACAATTTATAACCAAGATCATGTTTATGATTAATGTGGTACTTATTGATCCTCTAAAAAATGACAATATTTAGCTCCTGATGAGTTATTTCTGAAACTAAAGGATAATTTCAGTTATTTTTAAAACTGGGAATAAATTCCATTTCACTGGGGAACATTGTGCTTCTACTTTGTACTTGTAGATAGTCCTACAGGAGGAATTTGATTCTTGTGTACATTGTTCAGTTCGTTCTGTATATCCTTGTCCCTGCCTCTAGGACTGACATGAGAAGCAGGTTCCTGTGCCACTGGCTGGCAGAGACCTCCCTTCCCAGATGGCAGGATGGAACCCAACGCTTCATACTCCTGGCAATGCAGCAGCTGGCTCACAAATCCCTCCTTTTTAGTCAACACTTTTCCTTTGGCCTTGAAGCCTCCTGAGACCTTGATCTGCCACTGGGAAAATTTAAGCTGCTTATCTATCTTTCATCATTTACAAAAAGGGCCTCTAATTACTACATCAAGCCTAGGTACAAAAAGTGGTTAATTAATTATACAGAGACTGGACAAGACTCAGATTCTCATCATTGTGGGCTTGTGAAGTTTAACTCCCAATGCAGTACTCAGGGAGATGAATATTGGTCTTTATATTTAACTTCTTCAGGCTCTATTCAATGCTCTGCTATCTGGAGGTTGTCAGGACTGGCTTAAATTGGAAAGGTAAGGGTTAGAACGACCATGAATCATCCTGTTTGCCCCCACACTGACTGGCAAAAAGGACATTTGAAAGTCTGCTTTATCCATTTATATCTTTTGGTGTTACCTATGTGTGTTTCATTGATGTCTCATTCCCTCTCTTGCAGTGGCTCTGAATAGCTCCTCATACCATATCTGAGAATCATTGGCCTCAGTTACTGGAATCTAGGCCAACAGTCATAGGCCCTGTGAATACCATTTGATGAGTCCTATTCTGAAGCTTTATGGCAGATCCTGTCATCTATTAAAATGTAAGTGTGGGATTAAGGCTAAATTCTATTTGGGAACAGGAATAAAATCAAGGTATGACTGAATTCTAGGGAAAGGTCTCATATTGCTTTCCTATGATCCAAGACATGGTCTACTTACCATTTGTCCTGTAGCATCTGATGGAAATCGAGCCCTTATTGAAAACTGCCGAATGGGGTGCAGCCTCAGACAGGAAGACTAGGGTAGGTTGAAGAAGAAACAGTTGTGAGCTAAGTTCCACATTGCTGAGGTGTATCGCTTGTAACCATGTAGCCTACATAACATACTTTGAATGCCTTGTGTTCCAATACTGGCCTTGGGTACTGGCCACCTCAGTTTATGAGAATCATCCATCTTGTTCTACTCAAGCACTGAAACTTCAACTTTGAGAGTCTTCCCTTCACTTAGTTCATCAGAGATTGATCTAGACATCCTAACTGGTTCTATCTTAAAGATTAAACTCAGTTCTTACTCTGTCTTACCTTTTCCTAAGCAAATTGGATTTGTTGTTCTTATCTTCACAGCACTTCATATTTGGGTGCTTAATTGTCTGTACTTCACATGTGGCACACATTCCCCCACTCCCCGCCCCCCTCAGAGCCATGTGCAGTAGCTCTACTTGTAATTCCAGTTACTCAGAGGGCCAAGATTAGAAGGATAATTTTTTTTTTCTAAACGAAACCAGGCAAAAAATGTTCACGAGACTATTTCAATGAAAGTGTGCAGTGATGTATACCTGTCATCTTAGTTACTGTCTAAACGGTAAAATAGGAATATTGTAGTCCAGGCCTGGGTATGGGCATAAAGCCAGACTTTATCTCAAAATAACCAGAGCAAACTAGGGAGGAGTAGTGTTAATATAGTTGGGGAGGCAGGGAGAATGATAGCAGGAGTGACAATGATCAAGATGCATTGTACTCATAATTGAAATGTTGAGTTGAAGTCCTGTTGAACAACTATGTAAAAATAATTTAAAAATTTTTTAAAAAAGGAAAATAACAAGTGCAAAAAAACCCCATTGGGCGTGTGGCTCGGTGTCTAGAGCAAGCAAGAACCCTGAGTCCAAATCCCAACTACTCTCCACCCCTTTCCCCCCGAAAAACTCCTACCCCCAAACCAAAAGTATTCCTTCAGTTAGGAACTGTTCATAGATTTTGGGTGAAGGTAGGCTTTATTTTCTGTCAGTATTACAAGCTCCATGAAGGCAGAGTCTGTGTAATTTTCCCAGATTCCCTTTACTAGTAGATTACAAGTAGTCCCTATTTATCCATTTATGGTGCTAAGCATAAGACAAGCAAGCTCCAAAGTTCTAATAATTGGAAGCTCAGTACTGAGCAATACCCTGCCTTTTCAGATCCCAGAGAGATCCATCTCTTTCTACCAATCACAAAGAGGAGAAAAAAAAAGCTTCAGTGCATGCATGCTAATGATTCTTGGGATGAGTAGTTTGGACAGAAACTTGAGGAAGGTGGGGGACTCCACCAACAGTTCAAAGTACAACTTGAACTGATTAAAAACCTCAACTAAGCAAATCACACAAAACCTCAAAACTTGTGGGACATCTGAATTGCTGGTCATTTGGAGTAAATGAAAGGCTCGGAAAGGAAGTAGAATCATCTAGAGACTGTCCTCTCGTCTTGCCCAGTGAGTTCTAGGAAGACTAAATGCACTCTTGAGATGTGATTTACTACCTTCAAAGCATAGGTAATACCAGCAGATTAGAAGGTGGATTAAAGCTATATCTTCTGAGTGGTACACGGACACAATCAGCCCCTGTGGCTGCAAACAAGGTTGGCTGGACAGAAGGCTAGGAAGTCCAGGGGTTGGTGCCAGCTTTCCTCTGCCCCTTCCAGGTGCTTACCTGCTGTTGGAAGCCAGGTCGGACACTGATGCATTGACTGTTCTGTCTCGTGAGGATCCGTTTTCTTCTCCTTTGTCTCAGCACCACATAGATCCTGGCATAGACGAGGACAGTCACCCCAAAGGGCACATAGAAGGACACTACTGACGAGTAGATGACAAAATCAGGGTTGGAGATGGAGCAGATGCTGGGGTCCCCTGTGGGTGAGAGATGGGGAGAAGGCAACACAGTTTGCTAAGGATTGGGCCTCTGTGGGGAGCCCTGAGTCTACACTTCCTCCACCTTTTCATGATGGGGAGGGTGGGACAGAACACGTAGTCTCACATGCCTATGAAAAAAGCTCAAGGGCAGGAAGCCAATTCATCGTTGTGTTACTTACGGTTCATTGACCAATAATTATATGCCAGACATTGCTGCGCACTGGGGCTGCGAGATGAATTAGACACTGTGTCTGCCTTTGTGAGCAAACTATTTGGATAAGCAATGATCTCTCTGTGTGGCACGGTCAGTGTCACGTGGAGTACTGCAGCCCGGGAGGCTGGGGAGGGTCCCTGAGCAGGTGAGCAGAAGCCCAAGAAGGGATGTTCCAGAAAAGGGCCTGCTGGTATGGAGGCAGGAAGAGAAGATGGCTTCTTTTAACCCAGGACTTGGGGTAGGTGATGGCTGAATAGAAGACAGGCATTTGCTTTTGCAGGAAATCCCAGCACTTGGCCAGGGAAGAATGGAAAGAGAACTGGTTAAGATATGGTCACAGAGGAAAATGTGAATTCTGAAGAATCCTCATCACTGTTCTATGTGACTCCTGCCACCCTGTAAGATGTCCCAATGGCTTGGTCTTCACTAGCAAGGGTAGAGATTCCCCCAGTGCACAAGAAGGGACCAGAAACTTGCCCCTCTTGAAAACAAAAAGGGAAGTAAGCTAATAACTACTAGACCACAGGTCATGGGCTCTTTATGTATTATATTTCACAATTGTTACATCAACAGTACATTAGGCAGATTCCATGACTGTTTGTATTCTCAGATGAGCAGACTAAAGCACAGAGAGATTCAAAGCCACACAGACTGAAAAAGAGATCTCTCTTGCTAGTCGTACCTACATACTTCCTAGCCTGACATTAAAATTTTACAGATGGAATACTATGGGTTTTTGTTTGTTTGTTTGTTCTTTTGCTTTTCCTGTGACTTGAACTTAGGGCCTGGGCACTGTCCCTGAGCTGCTGCTGCTGCTGCTTCCTCCTCCACCTCCTCCTCTTCTTCTTCTTCTTCTTCCTTCTTCTTCTTCTTCTTCTTCTTCTTCTTCTTCTTCTTCTTCTTCTTCTTCTTCTTCTTCTTCTTCTTCTTCTTCTTCTTCTTCTTCTTCTTCT